GGTACAAAGGACAAAGTCAAGGGAATGTGAGGGGAATAAAGGTGTTCTTATTCTTGTTATTTATTTGCCTAGCCCATACCTCCACATGGGGTCAGGCTTACAAATGAAAGAAGTATGGAGTTGTTATTTCTTAAGGCTCATCAAAAAAGCCTTTGACCAAAAATATATCACGTTCTGGGCCAACTTCATAGTGAAATTTCACAAGTTATTTTTTGGAACTAAAACATCAAGAGCGCAGCCTAAAATGTTATTAGGGAAACTACATATTAAACCATGGTCTGCCTTTAATTTCTTACTACCCAATAAGCTATGTTCAACAACACTTCAATTATTTGTAGTCTCTTGCACATCTTCACTTTCTTTTCATTCCTGCTGCTGCCATGTGAGGTCAGGCTCCACCAGGACTAGCATGCAGATTTGTACAGGTTGAACACTGGACATCTCCAGGGTGTACCATTACCATAGACTACAAAACAACCTATACTTCTCAATTAGCCTTTTCTTCTCTCATTTCTATTGTAGTTTAAATAAAATTTACTTATCTAGCATAATGTATAGATAGTATATGTATAAAGTATAAGGCCCATCTTTTCCAAACAGAATTTCCATAATATAAAACTTCAGTCCTCTTATTCCATATAGCTCCACTTGCTGTTCACCTACTGGCCTCATGTTGAACATGATGACATTTGATCAATCCGTTCCTCTAACCCAAATATTCTTTACTTCTCTTTGTTCTCTCCCAATTCATATGTCCTCTAAGTTCTAGTCTAAATCCTGTCTCTTCCGTAAAACCTTCCCAGACTATTCCAGCTCAATGTTCTCTCTCTGCTGTACTCTTCCAACAAATGCCATACAGTCTACTTATTTCACACATGTTTTTTGCAGAATAATTTTTATGTACATATTTTCTTTTAAAGAAACTGTAAAATTATCAATGACAGAAGCATGATTTACTATTATTTTTATGTTTTTTATTAAAAACCAGACAATGTTGATGTTGAGAAAACTCAGTGAGCTGCACATTTTAAAGCATCTTTCTGTGTGTGTAATATAATTCAATAATTCAGGCCAGGCACAGCGGCTCACGCCTCTAATCCCAGCACTTTGGGAGGCAGAGGCGGGTGGATCACTTGAGGTCAGGAGTTTGAGACCAACCTGGCCAACACAGCAAAACCCCATCTCTATTTTAAAAAATAGAAAAAGAGTTAGCCGGGTATCATTGCACATGCCTGTCATCCCAGATCCTTGAGAGGTTGAGGTGCGAGAATTGCTTGAACCCAGGAGGCAGAGGCTGCAGTGAGCTGAGATCATGCCTCTGCACTCCAGCCTGGGCAACAGAGTAATATGTCTCAAAAAAAAAAATCAACAATTTGACAAACAGAACAACATTCTGTTATCATTTGATGGTGTCTCCCAAAAGTTAATGTGTTGGAGAGAATCTTTCTCCCTTCATGAATGGACTAATATCACTAACACAGGAGGGTTTATTATTACAGAAGTGGCTTTGTTATAAAAGCAAGCGCTCTTTGGCTCTCTTGCTTTTGCCTTCTCACCATAATATGCCCTCTGCCTTGCTATGACACAGCAAAAGGCCTTCACCAAATGCCAGCGCAATGCTCTTGGACTTTCCATCTTCTAGAACCAGGAGCTAAATAAACTTCTTTTCCTTATAAATTACCCAGTCTATAGGATTCTATTGTAGCAACAGAAAACAGACTAAGAAAAATACATATAACTGATACCAAGTAACTGATTGTTAGTTCAAGTCAGCGGAAGAAATATGAAGGCATACAACACAAAATTGAAAACATTCAATTGAAGTGGGTGTGAGACTCATGAATTGAACATAAAAAGTTTTTGAATATTAGTTATTGCTAGGAGGACAATATCACTTGAACTGCTAAATTGGAAAAGTTAGATAGATAATGGGAAAAATTTATTGCAAAAATATTTGTTGAGTATCTACTATGTACAAGTTCTGTTCTAGGCCCTGAGCAAAATATCTATAATTAAATAACCCTCATGGAACTCACAAGTTAATGCGGCTTTGTGACAGTATATGTTACAGAGTTTCAATCAATAACTGTCTTTGGGTTCAGCCAAATTGTGTATTCAGACATTCACAATTATCTAGAAGTTTTAAGCCAGTTTTATAAAATTTGTAAGGGTTTAGACTAAAATTTGCAATATAACAACGTAAGGAACAAAAAGTAACAACTTGATTGCTATTCAGAACTGTTCCAATTTATGAGAACTGAAGGAAACCATTGGCTTCCAAGGACAGATTTGAAGCTGCCAAATATGGAAGAACCTACGTTCTCATTATACCTCAGACTCAAACTGGCTGTGAGATGCTGGGAAAGTCACCCAATCTCTCGGAGCCACATTTCTCTCTACGTAAAAATGAGGATACTGGACTACATGATCTCAAAGAGAACTTCTATTTCTAGTGTTCTAGGAGTCTTTATTTGCTGTGGGCTGGCATTTAATATAAGGCTGCCCTGTCTTGGATCTCACTCATTAGAAGTTAATAGGGAGCCAAAAAAATCATCCTCCTTGAAGATGAGATTTCCCAGGAAGTCAGGCAATGTGTGTCTATCAAGGGCCAAAGACTGTGCTTTCTCCTCTACAACATGTTTCCCTCTATCAAGTTTGATAGACAATGTTTGATAGAGATAGTTTTGAATGCCTAAAAGTAAGAATATGCACATCTTATTTCTACAATCTCCTGAGGTGGTTCCAAGGTGCCCCTGTGGTTACAGTTTGAAGAAGACCAAAAAGTGCTTATAATACTTGTAGCATCGTTTTCAGGGGTTTTCTGTGTACCCTCAGCAGCAAAGACATGGCAGGGCACATCTTCAGTTGTGGACATGCTGGTGCCAGAGCTGTCACAAATGTACAAGTACACAGTTCTACAGACACGCTTTGAACCAAGGGGAAGCACAGGACCTGACAAGGCTAGGGGGAATGCCCCCATATAACTCCCCTGTATTTGAAAAACAGAGATCCAAAAATTGAAACTTCTGCTCATAAGTTGGCAGCAGAGCTGTGGGAAAAGTTTTGGATGGAAGGAAAGCCAGTGAATATTGATCTTTTGGCTCTTCCTTTTCATAAAAGGCAAAAATGACTCTTCTCTTAATGAAGGATGGCTGGGAGAAGCTTAGAAGATGCACTGATTTGGTTTCATTCTAGTCAGTTTATCTAAACCAGATCCAAATGATCTAAGACTTTCTGGGTTATAAAATGGGACTGGAATTCTTAGGGCAGACATGTACAATTTCCAAGGCTCCCTATTTCTTGTCATCCTTTCAGCAGTGTGGTGCCAGCAAAAACCAGCTAATAGACTCTTATGATCCAAAATTAATTTGGAAAAAAAAATAACCCGCCAGAATTTTTTAACCTAAAAAACAGGGCGGCAATTTAAGTTGGATTTGCATTTTCGGCAAAGGTTCACACTAGTCTTATTTTTATGTTTGTGGATTCACTCAGGTCTAATCTTAATAAGGACAGTTTTAGAGGCCTGGGCAGATTTTGAATGACTGATGGGCACCAATAAAGCTGGAAGAGTGCTAGAGTCCACCGGAAGTTCCGGGAGAGTCGTTGGAATCATCTCCTTAAACACCCAAGTTTCTACCTAAAAGTGGGTACCTTCCTCATTAATTACCCTCCTTTTTGGAAAAGGAGAAACTAAAAGGACAGGCTGTTTTGTTAATAAGATTTATTTTTTACTAAACTCTAAAAGGTTTAACTTCTACCATGGAGCTTACTCTGACTCTAATTCATTTTATTATTTTGCTTCTCTGAATTACAATATTTACCAGACACTTTACTTTTAAAATTGGTAATATCACTCTTTTTGTTCCCTTATAGTCACATAAGAGACAGGCTAATAGAAACAAATTGATCCAAGTTTGTGTTTAGTTAGATAAAACTTAGGTAGCAAGATGAAGCTTAGGTAGTTAAGATGAAGACAGGTAGTTTGCTTCTTTCAACTATAATATTTGCCAGAAATTTTACTTTTAAAATTGGTAATATCACTTTTTGTAGCTTATAGTGACAGGAGAGATAGGTTAATAGAAATAAATAATCCAAGTTTATAGTTTAGCAAAATGAAGCTTAAGTAGTTAAAATTAACACTCAATTAGAAATTCATGTTCAATTGACATACAACTCATTTCATTACATTTGCTAAACATGATTTTCATAACAGTTAAATCAGTCAGCTTTTAAATTATGTTCAAACAATAATCTATTATTAAGTTGTTAGTGTTTTAAAGAGAGGCATGGATTTATTTTTGATTTTTAAAATAACATCTTAAAGCCAACACTTATGTTAATTCCCAGTTTAGTTTCTTCTAAAATATTTCTACTCTGATAACAAATTGGGGCATACAAATTTGGTAACATTGTTTCTTATTTTTAAAAACTTAAATGTGAAATGGTGTGATTTATAATAATAAAGAAATACCGGTAAAAATGTAATTTTTCATTGGTACACATAGTAGCTATTTTATTTTATTTTATTTTATTTATTTATTTTTTCAAGATGGAGTCTTGCTCTGTTATACTGGCTGGAGTGCAGTGGCACTATTTCAGCTCATTGCAACCTCTGTCTCCCAGGTTCAAGCAATTCTCCTGCCTCAGCCTCCTAAGTAGCTGGGATTACAGGTGCCCAATACCATATCCAGTTAATTCTTGTATTTTTAGTAGAGATGGTGTTTCACCATGTTGGTCAGGCTGGTCTCAAACTCCTGACCTTGTGATCCACCCGCCTCGGCCTCCCAAAGTGCTGGGATTACAGGTGTGAGCCACTGTGTCCGGTCTAGTAGTTAGTTTATTTTTAATCACATTAAAACAGCATTTAAATGACATATATTTAAATTAATCTTAAAACAACCATCTTGATATACCTAGGATCTACCTACATTTTAGTTACAACTTAATTATCAACTAGATCCATAAGTTATCTGTCTTTGTGGAATCAATAAAACTATGCTAAGACTATACTTTCAGGGATTATTTCAGATAAGCTTCTAGAGTTTTTTCTGAACCTGTAGAGCACCAGAAACCATGAAAAGAGGGTGTAGCATTCTCTCCTGAGTGTGAGGCCAGCTCTTGGTGCTACCTCACTGAAACCACCATAGCCACTGATGATCATTCTTCTCTTACTCTGAGAGAGTAAGGAAGAGATGACACAGTCTGAGTGGTTCTCTTTCTTTTCTTTCTTTCTTTCTTTCTTTCTTTCTTTCTTTCTTTCTTTCTTTCTTTCTTTTCTTTTCTTTTCTTTTCTTTTCCTTTCTTTTCTTTTCTTTTCTTTTCTTTTTTTTTTTTTTTTTTTGAGACGGAGTCTCACTGTGTCACCCAGGCTGGAATGCAGTGGTGAGATCTCGGCTCACTGCAAGCTCCGCCTCCTGGGTTCATGCCATTCTCCTGCCTCAGCCTCCCGAGTAGCTGGGACTACAGGCGTCTGCCACCAGGCCCGGCTATTTTTTTGTGTTTTTAGTAGAGATGGGATTTCACCGTGTTAGCCAGGATGGTCTCCATCTCCTGACCACGTGATCTGCCAGCCTCGGTCTCCCAGTGTTGGGATTACAAGTATGAGCCACCGCGCCCCACTTGAGTGGTTCTCATTTTAAAAATAAAATTAAATTAGTAAAGAAATAAAAGTGTGCTTTTGTCTACTTTATAGAAAATCTAGTTCTACTGACAAATTCATACCTATATCTTTAATATACATAGACATATCCACATATGCATGTGCACACACACACACACCCCCCCCACACACACCAATCAGTAAAACTCAAGTAAGGGAATGTTGCTTTGTAAATGGTTTATACTCAATATTCCCTAATCAAGTGAGGCTTTGGTATAAAGCAGTAATCTCAAGATATCATTCCAAAATATGCAGGAAAACAGTAAGAAAATAGATATGTTTATTTACACAAATATGTAAATACTTATATTTATTATAAAGCTGCTTCAATATTGAAACCTCAGAATTTTGTGCTATAAAGTACAGAAGAGGTAGTTAACCATGTTTTCTTGTTGTTTATTTTAACGCATTCCTTCATTCTCTGGACTATATTTTTGAGGAGTTTTTGTGGTTGGCAACTGATAAATTGTATAAAACTTCATAGATAGGCCAGGTGCTGTGGCTCATGCCTGTAATTCCAGCATTTTGGGAGGTCGATGTGGGTAGATCACTAGTTAGGAAGATCGAGACCATCCTGGCTAACACAGTTAAAAATATAAAAAATTAGCCGGGCGTGGTGGCGGGTGCCTGTAGTTCCAGCTACTGGGGAGGCTGAGGCAGGAAAATGGCATGAGCCCAGGAGGCGGAGCTTGCAGTGAGCCGAGATTGTGCCACTGCACTCCAGCCTGGGCGACAGAGCAAGACTCCATCTCAAAAAAGAAAAAAAAAAGAAAAGAAAAGAAAAAAAAAACTTCATAGATATCAGAATGTCAACTTAGCCATTTCTAGAATTTTTAGATCAGCTCACTTTTTGAAAAGGCTCTGTAGCTATTACCCCATAATTGATTGTTTCAAAAAGATTCCAGAAGTCACTCTCTTAGTTCGCTTGGACTGCTATAACAAAGTATATTAGATTGGGTAATTTATAAACAGTATAAATTTGTTGCTTACAGTTCTGGGAGCTGTAAAGTCCAACATTAAGGCACCAGCAGATTTGGTGTCTGGTGAGCAGTCATTCCTCATTGTTGGAGAACAACAGGGCAGAAGGGTAAAAGGGTAAATAAGATCCCACCGGCCTCTTTATAAGAACATTAATTTCATTCATGAGGGCTGATGACCTAGTCACCTCTCAAAGCCTCCACCTCTTAATAACAACATGTTGTAGAGTAGATTTGAACATGCAAATTTTGAAGAAACGCAAGCATTCAAACCATAGCATCCCACCCCTGGCCCTCCAAAATGTATGTCCTTCTCACATACAAAACACATTAATTCCATCCCAATAGCCTTAAATTTCTCAATTCGTTCCAGCATCACCTTGGAAGTCTAAAGTCCAGAGTCTTATCTGACTATCATCTAAGTATGATATGTGTGAGACTCAAGGTACAATGCATTCTGAAGCGAATTGCTTTGCAGCTGTGAACATGTGAAATTAAACAACTTATGTGCTTCCAAAATACAATGACTGGCATAGGATAGACATTCCCTAAAGGGACAAATAGGGAGGAAGAAAGGGGTAGCTGGTCCTAAGCAAGTTCAAACCTCAACAGGGCAAATAACATTAAATATTGAAGTCTTGAGAAACATCTCTGACTCCATGCCCTGCCTTCTGGACACATTTGGGTAGGAGTTGGGCCTTCAAGGCTCCAGGTGGTCCCACCTCCATTACTTTACTAGGCAAAGCCCACACTGCAGCTCTCACAGATTGGAGTTCAGTGCCTGCAGCTCTCTAAGGCTGGAATTGCATGGTTGCGACTTTATAAGAATGGGGTTATGGAGGAGGCCCTGCATCCCCAGTTCCACTAGGCATTGTTCTAGTAAGGGCTCTCTGCTGTGGCCCTACCCCCATGGCTCCACGAGGCATTGTCCTGGTGAAGGCTGTCTGTGGTGGCCACACTCCTGTGGCAGTTCTCTGCCTGGGTCATCAAGCTTCTGGGTCATTCTTTGAAATCTTGGTGGTTCCAGGTGGCCCCACCTCCGTGACTTTGCTAAGCAAAGCCCACAGTCACACGCCCACAACCAGTGCACTCTGTGACTGGTGGAGATGACACTGCATGGACACCAAGATTACCATTTGGAGGAGCAGCCAAGGCTGCACTTGTACCCACTACAGTTGAACCTGAGGTGACTGAGGAGAAATGCAGGGAGCAGAGCCTTGGGGCAGTGCAAGGCAGTGAACCTCAAATGTCCATAGATACCCTGGGACCCTCTTTTGAAATTGTTCTTTTCCAAAGGCCTTGGCGTTGTAGACTTGTAATGAGCAGGGCAGTTCTGACAATCTCTGAAATGCCTTTGGGATTATACTCTGATTGTCCTGATGAATAACATCTGGCTTCCTTATATCTGTAGTAATCCTCTTATCAAATGTCTGCTTGATCATACCTTTGGTGTTCTCTCCTGAACACATTTTATCATTTTTTACAGGCTGAGAATTTTCCAAAGCTTTAAGTTCTGCTTCCCTGTTAATTATAAATTCCATCTTTAATTCATTTCTCTCTTCTCACATTTTACTGTCAAGAGAAGCCATGCTATACACTCAACACTTTGCTTAGATATTTCTTCTGCCAAATATTGTATTTCATCACTTGGAAGTTTTACCTTCCGTAAAGCACTAAGACGTGGACAAAATTTGCCAAGTTCATTGCCACCTTATACCAAGGATCACCTTTCCTTTAGTTTTCAGTAACAAGGTCTTTATTTCTGTTTGAGACCTCATCAAAATGGCCTTTAGGGTCCATATTGTTTAGGACCACTTGGGTAATTTCTAAGAGGACTGAAGTCTCTACATCTCTCCTATTCTGAGCCTCTACCAGAACCGTCCTTAATCCTCCCTTCACAGAAATGTAGGTTGTTTCTAGCATGTACCTCCAAACTATTTCAAACTCTTCCCATTACCCAGTTCCAAAGCCACTTCCACATTTTTAGGTATTTGTTACAGCAGCACCTCACTTCTGTCTCAGTCTGTTCAGGCTATTACAACAAAATACTCCAGCTAGGTAATTTATAAACAACAGAAATGTGTTGCTCACAGTTCTGTACCGTGGGCAGTCTACATCAAGAGCAAGATGCCAGCAGATTCGATGTCTGCAGAGGACCTGTTCCTCCTAGGGGGTGCCTTCTGTGTGCTTACATTGCGAAGGACTAAACAAGTTCCTTCAGGTCTCTTTTATATGGGCACTAATCTCATTCGTGAGGGCAGAACCTCCCAAGGGCCCCACCTCCCAAAGGCCCCATCTTTTAATATCAACACTTTAGGGATTTGATTTCAATATGTAAATTCTGGAGAAACACAAACATTCAGATCATATCAGTCACATAAGACCACTGTAGGATTTTTAATGGTAAGCGTTGTTTCCTCTTTAGGGCAGTTAGAATCTTCCTTTATACTTGAAGCTCCTGAATATGTATTTACACACACATTTTATTATGTGAATCTCTGTTTGCTAATGTAGACCAAGAAGGTAAACCTATTAGTATCACATAATCTTTTATCTCTGGGAAGGTTTCTTTGTGTTTTTTTTTTTCTTTGTTTGTGAATGAAAATACTTATTATTCGGGAGTTGGATCTCCATGAATTGTCCTTCATATGTGCTAACAGTTCTCTCACATTTTTATCTTTATGCTAATTTATTCTGAATTCTGAGATTGTTTCTAAGTTTATTGTTCAATTCATTGTTTAAATTTTCTGTAATATTGAGTCTATTTTTTTCCTATTTTAAGACATATTTTACTTTCATTAGAGTTTTTGTTTTGAAAAAATTCTTATCTCAGCCTGTTTCAAAATACATGTCCTCATTGAGAACAAGATGTTTTCTAAATACTTCTTATACTTCATTAAATAAACCTATTTAGGAGGAAGCAGACTTCTGAGTAACTAATGCTTTGCTCTTCTCTCTCGTTGCAACATATTTTCAATGTCTCATATTTTTCTGTTTACTCATTCTTGAGTAATGTAATGAACATGCTCTGAAATGCTGGTTTAAAACACTCATTCGATATTCTTTTCATATATAGAAAAATACTTAGGCCTGGTGTTGAAAAACAATGCATTTAAAGGACTTTACTCTCACCAATGCCTACCTGTTGGCCATTTACCTCCATGCTAATCTATAACTGGAGAGCAAATTGTTGCCCAGTGGGTTCGAAACAAATGCAAAATCCTTCACCAGAGCAGAGGTCTTTATTCTCATCTTTTAAGCCATGCAAATAGATTCAGCCTGAATTCCAAAAGTAACAAAAGACAGATAGGAGAAGCATGCAAGTGTCAAGCTCCTGTTGCGTAGGAGAGAGTTCTATGCTTTTCATTGTCCCCTATACCTTACTTACTACAAAGATGATTTATGATGAAGTTTGTAAGGCTTAAACTTCAAGATCTCTCACTTGCACAAGGCCCTTGCAATGTCTGTGAGAGTCTGTGAGAGTCTCTAACAAAGTGATTAACATGGTCAAGTATTTTTGTAAAATTTGTAAAACTTAGATATTTGATCCACTCAATCTTCCTGTATGTCAGGTT